TCAGAAAATTTACTGAGCACTTTTTACCCACAAGGCAGTTTTCTAAGCCCCTTATATGGGTCAGTTCTTTGAATCCACTGCAGTTCTTTTGTCTTCTCTTCTTTACAGCAGAAGAAACTGTGCTATAAAGTTAGGTAACTTGCATAAGGTCATATAGCTTGTTTGAACCAGACTTCAAATCCTAGTGTTTCACTGCAAACTTGTACACTTATGAGGTGTGACCTCAGTATTTAACAAATGAGGGAGGGAGGGAGGGAGGGATGGATGGGTGGGTGGATGAAGTGAAGGAGGAGGGATGGATGGATTGGTAAATGGATGGATGGATGGTTGAAGGAGTGGATGGATGGACAGATAAAGGAGAGAAGGGAGGGAGCAATGGATGAATGGGGATGGATGGATGAAGGGCTGACTGGCTGGCCAGCTGGATGAAAGTAAAGAACAAGAAGTGGTACCCATGGGTCACCTCTAGCCTGGACTCTCCACGCCCGAGCATCCAGCACGAAGAGCACAGATAAAGGCTGGGCTGGGCCAGGGGTGGCACCCAGAATGAGCTGGGAGGGGCTCACTTGAAATGACCTCAAGTCAGGAAGTCCTGCGAGGGACGGGATGGCCCCAGCTGAACCGTCTTCCCTCACGGCTGTTGTCCAGACGGAGCATAAACAGCCCCCTAATCTGAGTCCAAAGAGCTGCCCGGGGCATGCAACACCCTGGGCTCGGATTGGGAATCCAACCAAAGGCAGAGACCAAAGTCTCCAGGTGTAGGAGAGTCACCCGGGGGCTGAATTTACTGTTATTTACCCCCACCTCTCAACTGGCTTTTAACAAAGCCATTCTCAGCATCCAAGTAAGTCGCAATGGACTATTAGGATCACTAATTGCTGTGTATTTAATAGGGGAAACTCACTCTCGAGTAGTTAGTGTAAATCACTTGCTGAATGCTGATAACCACACTCCCCAGGCAAGCTGGATCTCTGTGTATGAAGCCATAAGTTCCCCTTGGCTCACCCTCCCTGAATGGACTTTTCACCTCTCCAGTCAGACACACCCTCCGCTCACAACTGCAGGGTGGGTTTCACATCTGTCCTGTGGAACTCAAGATGGACGTCGCTCTGGGCATCCCACCAGCATCGCCCCCCACCCACCTGCACTGGAAGCCTCTCTTGGCTATTTGGGGAGTTTGGAGAGCAAGGTCAATGCTTTTCTCTATCCTGGGCACTCAGTTTGACACCTGCTATAATCACAGGCTGAATGATGATGAGAAGAGACGAAGGAAAGACTAGGGAGGTGAGGATGCTCCCATATCCACAGCCTGCACTTGTTCTGGCGGCTGAGGCGTGGGGATTGGAGAGAGAGCTGCCAGAGGCCTTCTGCTGGAGGCTGGCATTGCTGGAGAGTCCGCCTGGGCTCACAGCCCTGGTGGTGATGATGTCAAGACTGAGAGCCCTCCCAGCAGGCACCGAGGCCCTTTCCCCAGGAAAATAAAACCTCACCAAACCTGCTAGCTATGTGACACCCCCTCTCTCAGATGCAAGAAGAGAGACTTCAGGGGACCTCCTGCCTTCAACCCTCCCCACCCCACTCCTGGTAGAAAGGAGCTTTAGGGTGAACGAGAAAATGAGAGAATGAGTGGATAATACACCCCAGGAGGAGGTATGTTCCAAAGCCAGGTGTTTGCAAAGATTGTGGCTCTTCAGTCGCTCAGACGTGTCTGATTCTTTGTGACCCCATGGACTGCAGCACACCAGGCTTCCCTGTCCTTCACCCTCTCCCGGAGCTTGCTCAAACTCAGGTCCATTGAGTTGGTGATGGTTGGTGATGTCCAAGCATCTCATCCTCTGTCATCACCTTCTTTTCTTTGGAAAAGATTGTCCAAGTCTAAATCCCAGGGCAAAATTCCATCCCAAATACACTGACAAGGAAAAGGATTTCATTTTTATATATTTATCCACAATACCTAAGGTTGGTTCCCAGACCTCTTCTGTTTTAAAGAATCATCTTTAAGTACAGACTAAATTAAATAAAATTAAGATATACTGGCTTCCCAAACAATGACTCTGTGGTGGATTTCAGGCTTGGTTGGTTCAAGCTGTGCTGTGAGGCATCAGAATCTCTTTCTCTGCTTCCCTTTCTCTCTCTTTCTCTCTTTCTGTTTCTCTGTCTCTCTCCCTCTTCCACCCTTTCTTTCTCCTCTCCCCACCCCAGGATCTTCTGCCATGGCTTAGTTCTCATGTAGGCTCTCCAAAGTGGTAGCTTGTAGTCAGCAGCTCTAGACTTCTATCTAAGGGGGTAGCTCCCTCACAGTGGGAGCTGCTATGCAACAGCTACCGTCCTGGAATTGAGTCTCACTGGCCTGGCCTGGGTGACATTCCACTATGCCCATACTTGCAGGAGAGGGTAGGTGTAAACTTCATCCAAACCACCCCCAGAGGAAGACCCAGAGGGAGAAAGAGGGCTGGACCATAACTGTATCAGTCCTGTCCCAACATGCTGTGCTCCGTGTCCTGGGGACCTTTACCAGCCAGGACCACATCCTAGGGTGCTGGGCAGTGGCTCTCTGAGAAGCGCTGAGACTCAGGTGTGTCTGGGGCCATGGCCTGGGTGTGCTGCTGGCTGTTGTGAAAGGGGTGGCTCTGGACACCCCAAGAGGGAGCCTGTGTTTTTGGTATTTTCTCTTCTGAATGACCCTTGGATCATCTCATCAAATTCCACTCAAATCTCACTGGGATTTGATTATGGTTGCACTGGCTCGCTGGGTGAACTGGGGAGAACTGACATTTTATGTATTGTTTCTCACTCTCAAGCATGTCATTTCCTCCCTGTATTGGCGTCTTCTTTAGGAAGTCGATAGAAACTTACAGTTTTCTTAATGGAAGGCGCCTATATTTTTTGTTAGTTTACTTTTCTTCTCTGGGTATTTCATAGTATTTGTTTCACTTTGTCAATTTTATTTTCTAATTGGCTATTATAAATTGCACTATGCACACTTTGTTTGGCTCCCAAGAGATAAAGATTCAGTTGAGACTTAATTATAACAAAAAGGGGTGTGTGATTTATTATGTCATCAAACTCAGAAATGAGGGCTGGCTGGCTTCAGGCACCAAAGGATGAAACCGTCCCCTCCTTGTGCCCTCCACACATGTATCGTTTAGGGAAACACCAGCTGCTTCAACAGATGATCCTTGGTCTTGCAGCTTAACCCAAGATGAGTCTGTTGATTGAGCATCTAAGAATTCCAGTGCCTCTTCTCCAAGCAGGGATTCCAGGACTCAGCCTCCATCAACCCAGGGCTCCCAAGGTCAGCTGAAGGTCGGCTCCAATCTAGGCAGGAGGGAGGGAGGAGGGTGTGTGGGTGGCGCTTATGGGTCTACACAGAAGTGGTGAGCATCAAAGGATGAGTGAAAAAACAAAATGCGGTCCAGACATACAGTGGGATGCCATTCAGCCACGAAAAGGCATGGATTTACTGACACAGGCTCCAACACGATGCACCTTGGAAATACAGTGCGTGAAAGAAGCCACACCAAAAGGCCATGTGTTGTGCACCTCCATTTTTATGAAATGAATAAGGGCGTTTCCACGGGGACAGAGAGTAGGTGAGAGGTTGCCGGGGGCTGGGGGAGAGGAGGATGCAAAGGGGCTGCTGATGGATGCAGGGGGAATGCGGGCCTCTAGGTGGGAACTACTTCGGGATGCTCGTGCTGACATTCTTTCCTTAGTTCTCTGCTCCTGATCTCCGGTGGCCCTACTTGGGGTTCTTGCCAGATTTAAACCCATCCCTGTCAAATGACCTTGCTCAAGTTCGTGAGCCTCTCTCTCAACTTCGGCTCCTGCACCATGAAATCAGCTCGAATAAGCCAATCTCACAGACTTATTTCTTATGTAGCAAAGTCTGTAATATCTCTCTTCAGCAATGACCACCAGCTTTCGCATATTCTTTTTTTAAATACAGATATTTCAGTTTATTGTATACATACTATGTACCCAGTTTTAAAGGAATAAAAATCCTACACCCTGGAACATAAGACAGTAAACAGAACAAAGACTGGCATTACTATACAAATGTGATTAACAAACATAAATAAGAAGCTATGATTTTTGGCTTTCCAGGTGGCGCTAGTGGTAAAGAACCCACCTGCCAACACAGGAGACTTAAGAGATGCATGTTTGATGCCTCCCTGGAGGAAGACACGGCAACGTACCCCAGTACTCTTGCCTGGAGGATCCCGTGGACAGAGGAGCCTGGGGGGTCACAGGCCAGGGGGTTGCGAAGAGCTGGACAGGACAAAGCAACTCAGCACATACGAACGCATGTGGTTTTTAGCCACGTTCATATTATGCAGTTTTAAAACTAATATTTTACAGTGATTAAATCCTTACTTGAAACCGTACAGTTGGTAAAGGATGTATGCCATTTTAAGTATTAATTTGGTGACATACAAAACAATTTTACTGGTATTTATGTGGAATAAATGAAGAATAAATATGTGAAGGATATGCTTTCATGAACCTAACTGTGCTTTCAGGAACCAGAGCATCTATGTTGTTCCTCCCATGTTGGAGGTCAAGTGCACGTCAGGGTGGCCCTCCCCAGCCCCCATGGTGGTTTGGGGCCACGTGACTTGCTCTGGACCATTAATTGTGGATAGATGTGCAGTGTGTACCTTTGCAGCCAGTGGAAGGTCCTCCAGGCCACCCACATGTGCACTCACAGGGTGAGACAGTGTTCCAGATGGTGTCGGCTCTGTCAGCCTGATTCTGGGGTGAGGGTGAAGCAGCAGAGAGTCCCTGGGACCTTCAGTGGACGTGCAACATGGGTGAGAAGGCCTCTTGTTCCGCGGCACCGAGTCTTGGGGAATGTTTGTTTCTGCATCACAGCTTAGCCACGCTGACTGATACACAGTTGCCAGAGGTCCCCTCCACTCATGACTCTGCTCTGATGCAGAGAGACCCCTGTGAGCATTTCCCAAAATGCTCCAAGCCTTGCTCAAAGAGGCTGTCTGTTCTTTGTTGACCCTTTTAATCGAAGTCAGGGGGAGGAAGGGCCACGCCCACATTTGAGTTTGTTGTGAGCTCTGATCAGTTCAGTCAAGCCGAGGTTCAGCCTGGAGCTGGTGAGACTGGTGATGTAGTCCAGCCATGGATCAGAGGGTTCTCCTCCCGACGACCGAGGAGCCCATCTCCCTGTATTCCTCTCTGGTGACCCACATGTCCTTGAAGGTGGAGAGTGAGCACAGGATGGAGCCACCTGCCCAGGCACCATACACGGAGTACGGACAGGTTGACACCTGCATGGGGGTGGAGGAGGCAGAGGCGGAGTGGAGGAGGGGAGGGGGGAGGGTGGGGCAGGACGGAGGGTCAGAGGGGAGAGAGGGAGGGAAACCCAGATCAAATACCAGCAAACTGGGGGAACGAAATGCCAACCCCTGAGCGAACTCCACAGGTAGTCATGCCCCCACCCCTAAAGCAAGTACAGTCTATTCCAACCTTTAAAGATGCTTCGTGGCCCTCATCCCACTGCTTGTAGCTTAAAATTATAGATAAAAGGAATAAGGACACAAAAGACTCACAGTTGACTCTTGGATTCACTCTAAAATACACGATACACTAGTTCCGTATATTAAGACCATGCAAAAGGCATACATCATTTTGCAGAAAAAAATACAAATAAACAAAAAAAAAAATCCAATAATCAGACCAGGTGGAGAAGATCTCGTCTACCGCCTGGGGCATCACATCAAGACTTTTTCTGGCTTTTGCTCTGTTCTTACTTTTAGACGGACATTAGCCATGTGTGTGGCAGATAGCAGTGTTTCTTATCCAAGTCAGGTCACCCCTGGATTGAGCAGGTCAACGCCTGCACACCCACCTGCCGGCGGCATCACCGAGGTGCTGAAGGAGTTTACTTGCTCAAGGTCAGATGGTGTCATCCTCACCTGTTCACTGACTTTCCTTAAGGCGCTTAGATACGTCACAGTTCAACATGTTTGTTCTCCTAATCAGAGAGGTGAGCACACTACTGCAGGGCAAGGGGATCTAGAAGGAGGATCTCAAACACCCAAGGTCCAGTTGGACGTGGGAGCGAGGGGAGATGAGTTATCAGGTTCAGTCACGGGGAAGCTTGCTGACTCTGTTGCCACAGAACCATGCTTGGCTTGGAAACCGTCTGCAGCTATTGGTTAAGACAAGAAAAACTGCTAAAATTTTAAGGGTTAAAAAAAAACACAAGGAAAAGGACCAGAAAGGGCATGTGAGGCATATTCAGGGTCAGGCATCAGGCAGGGAAAAGAGCTGGGACCCTATGTTCTCACTTTTTTTCCATCAATAAGCTGCCACTCTAGATGAGCCACAGACCCCAGCTATGTCCTGTCTAAAATGATATCTGTTCATTCAAAAGAGAGCAAAGCCCCCAGCAGAAAAAAAAAATGGCCAGAAGGTTGGAATAAGTGATTACAAAACTATGTTAAAGTAAAAGAAGATAAACAAGAAGGTATATAGCACAGGGAACTGTATTCAGTACCCTGAGATAAACCATAATGGGGTAGAACGTTAAACAATGAACACACGTGTGTCACTGAGTCGCTTTGGTGGGTAGCAGGAATGAACACTACACTGAGAAACAACTGTTCTTCAATTTAAAAAAAGAAAAAGAGAAAAACTGCAGACAGCTGGGAAAACTGCCAAAGACTCACCTTCATTAATCATTAAAGAAACAAAATTAAAAGTTATTTTTCATCCACTCACTTGGAAAAGAGTTTTAAAAATGATGGACCCCATTGGAAGGACTGATGTTGAGGCTGAAACTCCAATACTTTGGCCACCTGACGCGAAGAGCCGACTCATCTGAAAGGACCCCGATGCTGGGAGGGATTGGGGGAGGGAGGAGAAGGGGACGGCAGAGGATGCCGTGGTTGGATGGCATCACCGGCTCAATGGACATGAGTTTGAGTAAACTCCAGGAGTTGGTGATGGACAGGGAGGCCTGGCGTGCTGTGGTCCATGGGGTCGCAAGGAGTCAGACACGACTGAGCGACTGAACTGAACTGAGCTGAACTGATGCTGAAGGAACAGCGTGGATGAGACACTGTCTCCCCGGTGTTGACAGGACTGGAGGCTGGCTATTCTCAGGGGCACCTTGGCTGTAGGTTCCAAAAGCCTTAACAGTGTGTATATTTCTGGCTCAGGAAACTCCCATCTGGAAATGGATTCTAAGGGCGGGGGGGAATTCTCCTAAAGAAATAAGGGGAAATCATGGCACAAGAACATTATTATAGCAAGATCTAGGTTGTCAGGAGAAGCTATTGCCCCATGGAAACCAGCTGTTCTCCGAAGGGAGAGGAGTCTGTTTTAGGGAGAGCATTCTGTTCTTTAGGGGACAATACAATGAGCCCTGCAGATGACTAAAGGTGAACCCACATCCCCTTCTCTCCAGAGATGTCTAGATGGGAGAGAACTTGGGCAGAGCCAGAGCTAAGTTTTACTAAAGTTATAGGAAAAGGAAGACGCCTTCAAGCTTCATATGGAGAAGTTTTTGGGGTGGGGGGCTGGGGAGTAACTTGAGGGCTCAGAAGTAGGGATGGAGAGTTGGGTTCAAACCTCAGTCCAGCCACAGGCTGGCGGGCTAAGCCAACGCAAGACAGTGTGACGGGTGCTTTTTGCAACGGTGGTCAGAAAACACAGAGAGCCTGCAGCATGTTTCCACTTGTCTTCCATTCTGGCTAAGCTCGCCTTCTTTCTGGTTTATGGGCTTCCCTTCCTAAGGGGCTCAGATGGTAAAGACTCTGCCTGCGGTGTGGGAGACCGGGGTTTGATCCTTGGCTCAAGGAGATCCCCTGGAGAAGGGAATGGAAACCCACTCTGGTATTCTTGCCTGGAGAATCCCATGGACAGAGGAGCCTGGCCGACTACAGCCCATGGGGTGGCAGACAGTTGGACATGATTGAGTTACTAATACCTTCACTTCCTGGTTTAATGCAAGGTTTTTACAGGTAAGAACTCGGAGGGTCAAGAGGAGGAGCAGTGGAAAAGCATTCCTGAGGAGAGCGTAGGACTTCAGAGTGAGAAGCCATGAGGGCTAAGAGCTTTCTAATAATTATGTAAATGTCTCATCTCATGTGAGATGCTGGAAGGAGGCTGCAGCCTTGGGAGGTGAGGAAGCAGGTCAGTAACAATTTTCCAACATTACCTATATTTATGTAGCATCATAGGAAACTGTATAAAGAAGACGGCAGCCTTAGGAAGCGCAAAGGCGGGGGCACTGTTCTTTAATATAAATGTGTGCCCTGGTGGATCCTATTTTATGATGAGGGTTGCAGGCTTAGGAAGGAAGGGATGGGATTAATTTTCCAGTATTACATGGATTTATATAATAATAATGGAGTTTTATAATGTATATACAAGACGGCTGCTGACTTTGGAAGGGAGGCCTGTATTGATTATATAATACCTGATACATTTATCTTTCCATGAAATTCCTGAGTCTTCCCTGTTGCCCCAGTGGCTCTGGAGGAGGAGGCAGAGACCACCCAGGGGAAGAAGCACTGTTGTGCCTGGGGGCCAACCCTCGGTCCTCGGTCTCTGAGGGGAAAAGAAGGCCTCTACCTAACCAAGAGCACGTGGGTAGTCCCATCCCTCCAACCCCAGCCACCCAGCCTGGGCTCACGCTGAGCTGGTTCCTTACAGTCAGAGGGAGAGACAGGAAGATGCTTCTTCATGGCACAAATTGGGACTGAAATTCCAAACCCAGTGTATCAGTTCAGTTCAGTTCAGTCGCTCAGACATGTCCAACTCTTTGCGACCCCATGGACTGCAGCACGCCAGGCTTCCCTGTCCATCACCAACTCCCAAAGTCTACCCAAACTCATGTCCATCAAATCAGTGATGCCATCTGTCGTCCCCTTCTCCTCCCACCTTCAATCTTTCCCAGCATCAGGGTCTTTTCAGATGAGTCAGTTCTTCACATCAGGTGGCCAAAGTATTGTAGCTTCAGCATCAGCATCAGTCCTTCCAATGAACACCCAGGACTGATTTTCTTTAGGATGGACTGGTTGGATCTCCTTTCAGTCCAAGGGACTCTCAAGAGTCTTCTCCAACACCACAGTTCAAAAGCATCAGTTCTTCTGCACTCAGCTTTCTTTATAGTCCAACTCTCACATCCATACATGACTACTGGAAAGATCATAGCTTTGACTAGATGGACCTTTGTTGGCAAAGTAATGTCTCTGCTTTCTAACATGTTGTCTAGTTTGGTCATAGCTTTTCTTACAATGAGCATCTTTTAATTTCATGGCTGCAGTCACTTTTAATTTCAAGGCTGCAGTCATCTTTTAATTTCATGGATGCAGCCAAAATCACACATGGCTGCAGTGATTTTGAAGCCACCCAAAATAAAGTCTGTCACTATTTCCATTGTTTCCCCATCTATTTGCCATGAAGTGATGGGAACAGATGCCATGATCTTAGTTTTCTGAATGTTGAGTTTTAAGCCAGCTTTTTCACTCCTCTTTCACTTTCATCAAGAGGCTCTTTAGTTCTTCGCTTTCTGCTATAAGGGTGGTGTCATCTGCACGTCTGAGATTATTGATATTTCTCCGTGCAATCTTGATTCCAGCTTGAGCTTTACCTAGCCCAACGTTTCTCATGATGTACTCTGCGTATAGGTTAAATAAGCAGGGTGACAATATACAAACTTGAAGTACTCCTTTCCTGATTTGGAACCAGTCTGTTGTTCCATGTCCAGCTCTAACTGTTGCTTCCTGACCTGCATACAGATTTCTCTGGAAGCAGGTCAGGTGGTCTGGTATTTCCATCTCTTGAAGAACTATGGACGGAGGTTCGTGACATTGTACAGGAGGCAGTGATCAATTCCATTCCCAAGAAAAAGAAATGCAAAAAGGCAAAATGGTTGTCTGAGGAAGCCTAATAAATAGCTGAGGAAAGAAGGGAGGCTAAAGGCAAAGGAAAAATAAAATAAAATAAAATAAAATAAAATAAAATAAAGGCAAAGGAGAAAAGGAAAGATCTACCCATTTGAATGCAGAGTTCCAAACAATGGCAAGGAGAGATCAGAAAGTCATCCTCAGTGATCAGTGCAAAGAAATAAAGGAAAACAACAGAATGGGAAAGACTAGAGATCTCTTCAAGAAAATTAGAGATACCAAGGGAACATTTCATGCAAAGATGGGCACAATAAAGGACAGAAATGGTATGGACCTAACAGAAGCAGAAAAAAACCCAGTGCATAAACTTTGCTTATAGAGCTACTTTTATAAACAGGGGGGAAAAAAAGAAAATGTTTGAAAAATGGAGTAAAAAAGATGCCCATGTGAAAAGGCTACATGCTCTGTGATTCCAACCACACAAGCTTCCGACGATTTGATTCCAGCTACGTGGCGTTCTGGAAAAGGCAGGTCTATGGAGACATTAAAATCATCCATCGTTGCTCGGGGACGGGGGAGGTGGGGAGCAGTGGGCAGCGCCCAGGGCGCTATTAACGTGAACTATCCTGTGACAGCCCCCGTGGATGCGGAATTACTTCCTCTGCGGGACAGGCTATCTGTGGGCGCATGCCTTTCTACGCTCCTCAAAGCCCGTCACACGCACGCCACCAGGGTGAAGTTTAATGGCAACTACAGACTTCAGCTGACAACGATCGGTTCCGCGGTTGTAACCAATGCACCCAGGAAAACCACGGCTGGGCTCACAGGGGCGACTGTGCGCACAGGGAGAGATATGCGGGAACTCGCTTTCTCCTCGGTTTTTCTGTAAACCTAAGACTGCTCTAAAGAAATACAGGCTGTGAATTTGAAAGTAAGCAATAAAAGTTTACATGGTGCTGAGGGCATGGCAGGAAGCCCCTGGCAGGGGTGGAGGGTCAGGCAGGGGAGGGGCCCTGGCTTCCTCAAGCCTGAGCTGCATGGAAGCCGGCCTGCCTTTTGCAGACCTGGATCCGGGAAGTGGGGATGGGGTGGGGGACGTGAGGGGAGCCTCTCTCTGCACCGTCAGCTTCCTCTCCCCGCAGATAGTTCCTGGCAGAGGTCATACAGGCAGGTAGCTCTCCCGTCTTAAAACCACCGCCACCACAACCGCAAAACTCCTTCTGATCTCACGTCCCAGCTGTCGCCTGGCTTTTCTGTGCTTCTTGAAGCAAAAGTCCTTCCAGTCCCCTCCAGACATCGGCTATCTAGGCCCTCCAGGTGGTCTGTCTCACGCGACAGAAGATGCTGAATCCCAGGCCCCCAGGAACCGGTCTTCAGCCTTGCCCCACTTGCCAAAGTTGTAGGATTTCTAGGCCAGCTTGCTGCTCCCAGCAGGGCTGCCCTCTCTCCTTTCCTGCCTGCGCTCTGGAGCTCCAGTTCCCGGGCATCCCTGTTCCTCCAGCCTCTCCCGATGGGCCGAGGGGCTGCAAGCAGCGCTCCGCCCTGTGCCCTGTCTGCACCCCTGCCCCTGGTCTCTAGGCGGCCCGCCTCTGATGACGTCTCCAGTGTGGAGCTGGAGCCCAGCCTCCTCCCACCTCTGAGCTCTATCCCTCCTGAATTCTGCTCCCCGACAGACAGGGGACATCCCCAAGGGGATGCGTCCAAAATGACTTCAGGCTAGAACTTCAGGACATGCCCAGGGCTCCTCTGTCTCACCGCTACTTCACATCTCTCCAAAAATCTTACTGCCTTTGCCTTGAGTGTGAGCTCAAAATTTGGCCACCTTCCCACACCCTCCATGCTGCTGACTCTGAGCCACCAGTATCCCTCATCTGGACCCCAGCATCACCTCCCAGCTCCATCCGCACAGTCCACTCCCCACACAGCAGCCTGACCCCTACTCCAGAGCCTGGCCTGATGTTGTCACTGCTCTGCCCAAACCTCCTGTTGGTTTCCAGGCTCCTTCACGGTAAAATCTCGCATGGCTTCTCTGACCCTGTTTACCCCACTCCCTCTCTCAGCCCAGCCAACTTTCCTCAGCACTTCCTTAAGAAATCTGCCTCTCGGCCGCTGTGTGGGCTATTCCCTGTGCCTGAATGCTCTTCCCCACATATCCACCTGCTCCCCTCTCCTCCTTCAAGTATTCACTGAACACCACCTTTCCAGGAGTGCCCGTGCCCTGACCTCTCTCCCCTTCTCCTTCCTGTCTGTCTCCCCGACCCCGAGGCTCATAGCGCTTCCCAGCATATCACCCTCCGTACATATGATCTGAATTGCTTACTCCTTATCACCCTCCCCCCAACACACACTGGAATGTAAGCTCCCAGAGTTTTGTTGCTTTCTGTTAACTGAGGCTTCTGCAAGCACCTGGCACCTCAGAGGCATTCCAGGAACATGGAATAAATCACCGAGTCTCAGAGGGTGGGTGGAGGGGCCCTACCTTCACATTAATCTTCGGGGAGACCAGGGCGGATGCTTCTTTCTGCAGCCGGGCTCTCAGGCCAGAACAGGTGCCCGTACCACCCGACAGGATGATGTGGCCAAAAAGGATCTTCCAGAGGGCAGGGTTGCAGGAGCTGATGCATTCGAATGCCTTTATGTGGATGCCCAGGTCGTTCCGCTCTGTCAGGATGGACGGAACAAGGAGGAAACTTAGGGGACCAGAGGCCTAGTGGCTGCAACCCTGGGCTCCTCCCTTCCCCGGCAGGGACCAGGGAGGCGGGGGCCCCCGAGTCTCAGGCAGTTCAAGTGCAGTGGATAGACAGCACCGTTGACAGCGAGGCCCTTACAGGTTCAACACAATAAAGTACGTGAACTGCCCAGTGCAGGCGTGGGGTCCGCGACTCACGACTGAAGAAATAAATGTTAATTCTCCTCGCTCATCTGGAAGACCTTGCATCCAAATGTCACCGACAGCTATTAATTTTTAATTTTAAAAAATTCTTTAGATTAATTTTTATTGGGTATACTTTCTTTACAATGTTGTTTGTTAGTCTGTACTGTTCAGCAAAGTGACTCAGCTACATGCATACATACATCTCCTCTTTTCTGGGTTTCCTTTCCATTTAGGTCACCAAAGAGCCCTGGGGAGGGTTCTCTGAGCTGTGCGGAATTCTCGTTAGCAGTCCACTTGACACACGGGATCAGCAGTGTATAAATGTCAGCCCGTCTCCCAGCTCACCCCGCCCCCTTGGTGTCCGCGTGTTTGTTCTCTGCGTCTGTGAGTTATTCGTTTTTAACGTGTTGGCATCCGTTTCCTTATGAAAGGACTCTGTAGCCACAGGGTCTTTGCTCAGGTGGCCTTGGAAAATCATCCTGGTCCTTCCTTTCCTGACTCATCCCTCGCCTGCGTGGCCTCAGAGGCGATGAGAACAGACCTAAAGGACGTGTGCACTGTGGTCCTGTCTCTCGGAGATTGTGAGGTCCTGGGAGGGATGGCCGGTGCCTATCACTGTGTCCCCAGCTGTGACGGTACCGGCCGTGTGGCCCTGGGATAAGGACTGGAAAGTCTAACTCGCAGGAGCCGTGGAGACGTGTGGTCCTGCAACTACCGTCAAAGTCACAGTTGTGCCCGCAAAGCTGCCGTCCACCTAGACCCAGAAGAGAGCTTTCATGCTGTGGGTGAAACTTCACCCAACGGCTTCTTCATTTACCCTTAAAATCTGGAGCCGTGCGCCATGTTTTAAACCTTCACCCCCTCACAGCCTGTTGGAGAACTCAGAACCTGGCTCACCTGTACTAGATAAAAATGCTGGGTCCTTACTAGGTACTCATTCTGGGGAAGTTTACATCTTTTATTCCCCTTTGTCCCTTATTAATGTAACCAATTATCTCTAAGCTTTGATTTCAGGCAAGAGCTGGCTTTCCCTGACTACTTTGCAGACTTCATTTTCCCAATCAAAGGGAATTTTATACCTCATCATTTTTTTTCCTGTTCTCCCATGTCTGCCAGAGAGCTTTGTCAGCTCAACCTTTATTTAAAATCTCTGGATCAGCCAGATTTTTAAAGTTTCCTTCAAATTCCATGGGTTTTGCTTCTTTGCTTTGTCTGAACATCTATATTCCGAACTATTTTGTAAGTAGGTAGAATATAAATAATACGTAATGAAAAAGACTTATTGTCCAGGGTAGTATCTCATCACATTTGATGAATGATCTAACACTTTACAGTAGGTTTCTTCATCTGTAAGATGAAATAATGTGAGATCTGGGGAAGGCTGAAAGGACACAACACACGTACAAATGGTCAGCAACATATGGGTATGTTGATGTTAATTGTTGTTTAGTCACTAAATCATGTCCAACTCTTTTGTGACCCCCCATGGACTGTAGCCCACTAGGCTTCTCTGTTCATGCAATTCCCCAGACAAGAATACCGGAGTGGGTTGCCATGTCCTTCTCCAGGGGATCGTCCCGACACAGGGATCGAACCCTCATCTCCTGTATTGGCAGGTGGATTCTTCACCTGCTGAACCACCAAGGAAGTCCTGGAGACTGTTTCTTAAACAGTGGTAAACCGTGTTTGGGTGCTTAATAAGTGATATCAGGGGACCTTTTGAAATGAGGTGTCAGCTTGCTATTATTTGCTGCTCAAAATAGAATGCCCTCCTGGTAACCCATCTCCTTCTGCCCTGCGACACGCTCATCTGCCTGTGTGTAGTTCGTCTCTGACCCCCTCCACGGACTCACCTATGAGGTCTGGCTGGAAAAGCGCTTCAGGGCAGAAAAACCTCTCCCTCCCAAGGTCTATCTCCTGGCCGTCAGGCAGCTGACACTTTTGTGGGTAGGAGGGAGAGTTGGCTTCTGCCTTCTCTTTTTCAAAGTCCAAAGCCACAAAACAATTTTTCTCTTTCAGGTCCCGCATACACTCCCGATCAGCTGTGGAAGAGACGAAAAGGGTCTGACTGTGAGTTGAGTTCACAAAAGGATTTTTTTTCTCCAGGCGCCTCCTTCTAAAGCCTCAGCTCCTTGCAGGTGGGGGGGCCAGACGGAGCCATTGCAGCCACAATCTCTATTGTCATCTCATGTTCTAGTACCAGACTTCACGCAGTTCAGTGTGAAGATTTTGCCTGCAATGCAGGAGACTCAGGTTCGATCCCTGGGTTGGGAAGATTCTCTGGAGAAGGGAATGGCTACCCACTGAAGTATTCCTGCCTGGGAAATCCCATGGACAGAGGAGCCTTGTGGGTTACAGTCCATGCGGTTGCAAGGAACTGGACACAACATAGTGACTAAACAGCACTCTAGTACCTGCTGATCTGCAACACGTGTCGGGGCCAGCTCTGTGCCTGAGAAGGGTGGACTAGGGATGTTCTGAACTAAAATGCAAATGTTTGAGAAGTGTCTTCATTTTATATGCGGTGTGCTTTGGGAGCTGGATAATCAAGTTCAATTTTATTATCTATTAATCTAGGAGGTGATGGTGCTTGCATCCCTACCTGCTACGAATATTGCCTCCAAACAGTTCACAACTGCCCCTTCCTCTGCAGAACTGCCCAAGACAACAGAAGCCCCCTATTCCAGAAACATCCCACCTTCTGGACTCCTGACAACAGGTTTCAGACTCAGCTACATCTCCTGGTGTTACACTTTTATTTTTGATCTGTCATCGCTTTTGAGATTGGGTCAGAGGGCTCTCCCTGCACCCGCTCACTGGGAAATCCCACCGGTTCTTCAGCTCATGGACATCTGACCTTTACCTTGTCACTTCACCTAAACCAGGATGATGAATCTGTCAGTTGGTAATGGCAGAAGTGGGAGAGGTGAAATTTGAAAGTAGACTTTTGCTTGACTTCTTTCCCTCCAACAACTGATGCTGTTGGTCACACCCTTCTCTTTCCTTGCCTCCTGAGTAACACCTTATAGTTTCCCCTTCTTTGCCTGGTTTGGGCTTTGGTGAGACAAGTATAGGTTCAAATTACCTCTTCCACCATTTACCAAGTGCCAAGCTTCCCTGATAGCTCAGTTAGTAAAGAATCCGCCTGCAATGCAGGAGACCCTAGTTTGATTCCTGGATTGGGAAGATCCTCTGGAGAAGGGATAGATTATCCACTCCAATATTCTTGGGCTTCCCTTGTAGCTCAGCTAGTAAAGAATCCACCTGCAATGCTGGAGGCCTGGTTTCAATCACTGGGTTGGGAAGATCCCCTTGAGAAGGGAAAGGCTACCCACTCCAGTATTCTGGCCTGGAGAATTCCATAGACTGTATAGTCCATGGGGTTACAGAGAGTTGGATACAACTGAGCGACTTTCACTTTCACTTTCAAGCTCATTATCCTCTTAACCTTCCCTCTCCTCGTCTTCAAGAGTAGGACTGATCATTCCTCACAGTATTGCTGTAAGGATGAGAGGAAGTAATGCACATTTGACTTTGCTAAGTGTGAGGTGTCAGTGAAATGTATGAGTCCATCCCAGTCGATCCTTACCACTGTCCCTTGCTTTCCTCTAATTGCCACTATTCTTCTGGGTTCCACGCTTTGCATGGTTTGGATATAGACCTCTCACCTGAGAAGACCAGAAACCACAAGGTGGGTTACAGGTTTGGCGGGAATGGGGGTCATGTAGGGTCTACAGGCTGGGAATTTAGTCCAGGAATTGGGTGAAGAGTGGACAGGCACCTCCTTGTCTGGAGTCCTTGGATTCCCTTCCCAGAAGTTATACCTACTAGTCACAGGAAGCTGAAGTCATCTAACTTTCCTAAACCTATTCCTCTTGCGATGGAAGTAATTGTTTCTACTCAGAGTACTGAAGCACAAAGCAATGAGAGAATGCATGCGGACTGTTTCCTTAGCCAGCTGCCTGTCACAGGGTAAGCACTCTGTAGAGCTTAGCTCATCAGCATCAGCGTCAGCATCACCTCACCACCTTCCCCACCATCATCATCATGACCACCACCGTCAGCACCTTCCTCATCACCGTTACACCCGCATCACCGTCCTCATCACCATCATAACCTCATCTTCACCATCATCCTTGTTGCCATCATCAATGCACTAAATGTCCCTCGACATAGAGAGCATTGCTTTTTAGGACCAGAATGGTGGTGAAGTAGCCTGTGCTTTACAAATTGAGGGCTGTAGGTGGAGGAAGCTAAGGAGGCTATTGCGGCCCGAAGACCGGTTTACCTGGCTGGGAAGAGCAGCATCCTACCTGTGCTCACCAGCAAGTGCCCACTTTCTGACAGCAGACGTAGGAAGTACAAGGTTAGGTCTTGGCCCGCAATGTCCATGTGGAAGGTTGACTGATGCAAAGGACAGCCGTCAATGATGGGCACGAAGTACGTCATTCCTTCTCCAGACTCAATCGTCATCCCTAGGCAAGAAAGCACTCTGGGATCATCATGTCACATGCAGGGCGTTGCTAGGCGGTGGTCAGGTCTGCTTGAAGACATGGCAGAGGAGCAACAACCAGACGGGAAGACAAGGGATCCGAGGAGAAAACTTTCTTTCCCTGCAGGAGAGTGTGCTAGGATGGTGCCAATCTGGGTCAGACCAATGGCTAAATGTGCTGGAGAGGAAGCCTGCAGGCTTTCTAATTAAATCAGACATTCAGGTATTAGCCTTTTCATACTGTTCATGGAGTTCTTAAGGCAAGACTACTGAAGCGATTTGCCATTCCCTTCTGCAGGGGACCATGTCAAGGCTGTATATTGTCACCCCACTTAATTAACTTATTGCAGACTACATCACGTGAAACGCCCAGTTAGAGGAATCACAAGCTGGAATCAAGATTTCTGGGAGAAATATCGACAACCTCAGATATGCAGATGATACCACTCTAAAGGCAGAAAGCAAAGTGAAACTAAAGAGCCTCTTGATGAGGGTCAAATAGGGAAAAAAACTGGCTTAAAACTCAACATTCAAAAAACGACAATCATGGCATCTGATTCTATCACTTCATGGCAAACAGGTGGGGGGAAAGGGGAAACAGTGACAGATTTAATTTTCTTGGGCTCCAAAATCATTGTGGATGGTGACTGCATCCGTGAAATTAAAAGACGCTTGCTCCTTGGAAGAAAAACTATGACAAACTTAGACAGTGTATTAAAAAGCAGAAACATTACTTTTCAGGCAAAGGTCTGTATAGTCAAAGCCATGGTTTTTCCAGTAGTCATGTATGCACATGACAGCTGGACCATAAAGAAGGCTGAGCACGAGAGAATTGGTGTTTTCGAATTGTGGTGTTGGAGAAGACTCTTGGCAGTCCCTTGGGCTGCAGGGAGATCAAACCAGTCAGTCCTAAAGGAAATAAATCTTGAATATTTGTTGGAAAGACTGATGCTGAAGCTAACGCTCCAATACTTTGGTCACCTGATGCCAAGAGCCAACTCACTGGAAAAGACTCTGATGCTGGGAAAGATTGAGGAGAAGAAAAGAGAAGGGGATGACAGAGGATGAGATGGTTGGATGGCATCACCGACTCAATGGACATGAGTTTGAGCAAACTCTGGGAGATGGTGAAGGACAGGGAATCCTGGCGTGCTACAGTTCACGGGGTCACAGAGAGTCGGACATGACTGAGCGACTGAACAACAAGGGCGTGGCACCAGCGTTTTCTCATTTTAAGACTTATTAAGCCAGGAGCAGGCAACCCACTGCAGTGTTCTTGCCTGAAGAATTCCATGGACAGAGGAGCCTGGCGGGCTACAGGCCATGGGGTCGCAAACAGTCAGACACTACTTAGCGACTGAGCACGCACAAATAGATTGATGAAGCAGAAGAGAGAGCACAGAAACAGACCCCCACACACAGACAACCGGTTTTTAAAAAATGTGCAAAGGCAATTCAATGAAGCAAGCATAGTCTTTAAACAAATACTGTGGGGGAAATGAGACCTCTATACACACATAAAACTTCACTCATACTTCATACCATATACAAAAATTTGTTCGAAATGAATCTAAATGGAAAACTAAATGACAAAGTTTCTAGAAGAAAGCAGCAGAAAACTTCTTGGGCTCAGCATGTATTTCTTAGTTATGACACTGAAAATAAGATCCACAGAAACTAAACTGATGAATTGATCTTCCTTGAAGTTAAAAGCTTCTGCTCTTCAAAATACACAGTGAAGAGGGTGAAAAGTCAAGTCATAAACTGGGAATAAATAGCTGCAAAACGTCTGGCTGATAAAAGACTTGTACCCAGAATAAAAAAAGAATTCATAAAGCTCAAAGATAAATAACTCAATTAAAGAAAATTGGGCAAATCATTCGAACAGACTGAAGCAGATCTACAGATGGTAAATAAACACGTGAAAAATGCTCAATCTGACTGGTCTTCAGGAAAATGCCAATCGAAACCACAATGAGACACCGCTGCACATCTGCTCAAAAGCAGAAATGAAAGACTGACCCCATCAAGGGCCTTGGAGGAACCGGGCCTCTCACAACGGTTGTGTGGGACCACACAGAACAGCCCATGCATCACCACACTGTGACTAGTTTGGCTGAGTTTTTAAAAAGTTAAACATCCCTCTACCGCATAACACAGTCACCTCCCTTCTAAGTATTTGCCCAAAAGAAATGAAAACAAATGTCTGTGCAAATGTACACAGATGGACACTTGTCCACAAATGTCCACAGAAACTTTATTGATTAAAGTCCCCAGCTGGAAACATCCCAGATGTCCATTCCTGGGTGAATGGATGAAGTAGGGGCACCGATACCGAGGAGCATTACTCGGCAGCAGCAAGGGATGAGCTGTTGATATAAACAACAAGAGTGAATCCCCAGATAATCATTTTGAGTGCAAAAGCTGCCCAGGAAAGGGTACCCGCTGCATAATGACACTTGTAGGGAACTCCAGAAGATGCAGACACATGTGCGGGGACAGGCTGGTGGTTGTCTGAGGACAGACTGGAGGAGGCAGCGTGTGGGGGTGGGAGGGAAGTATTTGGGGATGATGGGTAAGTTCGTCCTCTTGACTGTGCAGGTGGGTTCAGAGTGTATCCACACCTCAAGGTGTATCCAGCTGTACACACTGCAGTTCATAGTTGTCAATCATACCTCAATAAAGATGCTCAGGAAAAAAGTGACTCAGTGCGGGAGGTGGGGGAGAATGTTCAACCACGAGGCATGAAAAGGGCTCGTAAGTGGCTTTTATGAATTTTTCTTTTCTTTTCTATTTGACAACAAGGGAGTGGGCAGCCAGAGGGAAGGGCTGGGCGTGGGCATGGCCATGGGCTCCCAGGGGCAACTCACCAGCGGTGTGGCCGGAAGCATAGAGAGAAAGGACTCCTTGGTTGGCTAAATACAAGGCAGGTACACTGAAGGTCTCAAACAGGATCTGCGGGAGATGTGAACGCAGTCAGGGGGCACTTTGCCTAAATTCCATGAGCAAACAAGTCCCTCTGGCCAGAGGCACGTGACTGCCCCAGAGGGATCCAGACAGCAGGTCAGGAATGCCACTCTTCACCCCAGCCCTGCCCTGACAGGCTCCACGACACCGACTCCCCGTCTGCAGAATGGGGTCGCACCCTTCCCAGGTACCAAAAGGGGGAGCGTCTTCTGCGCTTTCTCAGGACCAGCTAGAGGGCCTCACATCGTCTTGTAAGCCACCGTTTCCTCACAGTGGGGAAAACGCAGATTCCCAAAGCCTCTGAAGCCATTGCTGGTCCCTCCACTGAGTACACCCTTCTTTCCTCTCTCCGAGGGCGGGCAGACCCATACCGAGCAGGGTTCTTGGTCTTCCCCAATCAATAGAAATTGATCAGAGGCCAGACGAGGCACTCAGGCAAGGCTTGATCGGGGCGGGGCCCCTGTTGCAGAAGGCAGGGTGGCAGGAACAAGTAACAGGTGCCTGCTCCCCCTGAGTGGGGTCGGGGTGTGTCCCGGGGTGAGCAGAGGAGTGCTGTAGGTGGGTTGCCCTGCTTCGTGGTGCTGAGAGCAGGGGGCACGTGCAGGGCCCTGCTTCTGCCACCACTACCCAGTTTTTGACAGTTTTTTTTTTGCTGCCAGCTCTTCAGAAGTGGCAGTTGAGTTTTTCGGTCTCTTTGTATCCTTTGGTCCAGAATTTGTCCCCAGTGCACATGACGCAGTTATTTTTGGTGTCGTATAGTTTCTTTGCTGGAGGAGAGGTGTGTCCCAGTGCAAGCACCACAGCAAAGGCCAGGTCCCAGGGCCTCCTGTCTCCAGACGTCCTCAAAATCCCGACACTTGGACTTTAGACAACTCATTTGTCCCATCACTATGGAGCAATGAAAGCTAACGGCTACTGTGTGTCACGTACAGGCCAGGCACTTAGTCCAGACATGGCTTGGTCAAGAAACCTCTCCTGGGTGCTACGTACACGGGGGAAGCAGCAAACAGGGGAGCCACAGCCTCGTGTTTACGGCCTACGGGGGCGGCCCCTGGTGGATGTGACGTAGGATTCCCCCCGCCCCGTCCACATGAGAGACCGGTGGGCAAGAACGTGAGGGAGCAGGTGGCAGGAGTGGGACGTGAGCACGGGCTGCGGGGCATGCCTGGGCACGGCCTCTGTGACCCTGGTGGGGTGAGTGAGCGAGTCTGCCGCCAGATGGTGACACTGGGGTCCCCGGGACTACAAGTCCTTGCCAAGTCTATTCCTGCCCCTACACCCCAGAGGCAACCACTTCTGGTTTTTTCTTTTTTCTTGGCTGGGCGGGGTTGCTGCACGCTGGCTCTGGTCTGGGTGCGGGGGCTCCTCTCTAGTTTCGTGGGGGTGGTTTCTCTTGTTGCAGAGCCTGGGCTCCAGGCACATGAGCTCAGTACTTGTGGTGAACGGGCTCAGTACTTGTGGTGAATGGGCTTAGGTGCCCCATGGTGTATGGAATATCCCCAGACCTGGGATTGAAGCTATGTCCCCACTGAACCCGTGATTGGTTGGCAAGAGGATTCTTAACCACTGGACCAGCAGGGAAATTGTATTGGTTCTTTCGATGGCGGGACTCAACATGGTGTCCCTCTGATAGATGGAACTTTGTCACATGCAGCTCCAAACGAGGGTCAACTGCCAGGCTGCGCCATGGGGGTGGGACGGGGGTGCACCCAGGAACAGGGTAACAGTGAGCTGGAGCTGCCGGGGACAGAGCACTGATGGCCAGCGGGGGGGTCTGCCAGGTTTCAAGGGATCCTTTGAATCGGCTCATTTGACTAATGTCATGGGCTCCTGGGCATAGAAACACACCCTAACGGTCTAGTACCCGTCTCTGAAGCGATTAGGGCAGGTGTATAGTGCCCTGAGGTGTGTGACGGGACCACAGACAGAGTGGTTGGGGTGTGGGCTTAATCCGCTGCCCAAGACGGAAATTAACCAGCCTCTAGCCAAGACCCCAAACCAGGTCAAGACATCCTTTTTAAACAACATTATACACAGAACACACACCACTGAGTGTGTTACTCACAAAGCATGCTTCCCTCTAAGGGGGTTATTACAGAGCAGGGTCTGGGGGCTTGATGATTTACCAAGAGAAGTGAGAACACATGTCCATACGAAGATTAGCCTGTCAGTCTTGCCATTCTTAGGTTCCCCCCGACCTGGATCCTGGAATTTGGATCCTAGTGGAGGTGGGAGGGCGGCTTTTATGATTCAACTAGAGACCCTTCCCCTTAAAAACACAAAGACAAAAACCAGCTCCACTCCCCCTGGGCTGGCAAGAGCTTGGAAGGGTCTTCAGGGATCCTGAGGTCAAGCTCCCATTTCATAGATGAGAAAACAGAGGCCTAGGGACAAGAACCAGCATTTAGTGAGTGCTTGATGGTGCCGAGCATTGGGACAGGTGCTTTAGAGCGGTTAACTCATCTCATTTCCATAGCACCCCGGGCGATACCGTCATCCTCCTCTGAGGGGACACCAGGACACCAAGAGGACCAGTCACCCACTCGAGGTCACAGGGCCAGCACTTGGGGGCCTCAATGCCAGCCCGCGCCCTTCCCTGTATGCTGGGCTGCTCCCCACACTGGTTTCTTTCCTGGGACTTGGCCCCCAGAAACCCTCTTCAGATACACATTTATTCTCAGAGGAGAACCAGCCCCGCAGTCCTCAGCCTGCTTGTCTCCAGGAGGAGCCCCGGACATCAGCTGCTGGACCGAGGGCCAAAGGCAGGGAGGGGACCGGCTGGAAGGCTGGAGCGGACGGGGAGCTCGGCACAGAGCCGCAGATGTGAAGTCCCTTGTTGGCAGGGAGGTGGCGTTCCGGGGCCTCAGTGCAGGCCCCCCAGCCGGCTGCCTCTCATTTGTCTGCAGAAGCCTCCGCCCTCCAGCACTGCTCTGTCCTGGGCTGTGCTCACAGGTCCCCCTGCCCTGGGTGACCCGCTGGGATCTGCCCGGGGGGCTCCGAAGGAGAAACGAGGGAGGTGGGAGGAGGCGGAGGACCGCTGACATCCCCACTCCCTGCCTCCTGGCCCCGCTGGGAGCTGGTGCCCACGGCTGCCCGCTCAGCCCCGGGCATGTGTCGGCTCCAGTTACCAGCCCGGAGCCCGGCACCTCTCATGTGACTGTTCTGAGACTTGGGCTCACCCGTGTATGTCGGCTCTTCAATAAACTCATCAACACTACCCCATGTGGGCGTCCTTTGGTTTCCTGCTGGGATCCTGATACAATTAGGGAGTAAATTCAGAGACAGTTCAGGCAGAAAGGCAGGGAGCGGGTCTGGGAGTGGTGGGGAAGCGCCCGAGCCAGGCTCTGTGGCTGGCACTGCAGTTAGTATGAGGGTGGTCAACTTGCCTGGGCCACAGGGGCCAGACACTGGGTCAAACACGCCTGGGTGTGTCTGAGGGTGTTTCTGGATGAGACTGGCAGTTAAGTGCATGTGCTGAGTGCTGAGCTCAGTCATGGCCGACTCCTGCAACCCCGTGGACTGTGGCCCGCCAGGCTCTCTGTCCATGAGATTTTCCAGGCAAGAATACTGGAGTGGGTTGCCATTTCCTTCTCCAAGAGATCTTCCCCACGCAGGGATTGAACCTGTGTCTCTTAAGTCTCCTGTATTGGCAGGCGGGTTCTTTGCCACTAGCGCCACCCATAGACTGAGCAAAGCAGATTGTTCTTCCCAAAGTCAGTGACGTGAAAGCGAAAGAGTTGGTCGCTCAGTCGTGTCTGACTCTCTGCGACCCCATGGACTGTAGCCCACCAGGTTCCTCTGTCTATGACATTCCCCAGGCAAGATTACTGGAGTGGGTAGCTGTTCTCTGCTCCAGGGGAGCTTCCCCACCCAGGGATCAAACCTGGGTCTCCTTCGTTGCAGGCAGATTCTTTACTGCCTGCGCCACCAGGGGAGGTGGGTCTCATCTAATCAGCTGAAGGGTTGACCGGAACAAAAGGCCTGAACTTCCCTGAAGGAGAGGGAATTCCTCCTGCTGAACGCCTTTGAACTGGGACATCAGGTCTNTTTCCCAGCATCAGGGTGTTTTCCAATGAGTCGGCTCTTCACATCAGGTGGCCAAAGGATTGGAGCTTCAGCTTCAGCATCAGTCCTTCAGGTGAATATTCAGGGTTGATTTCCTTTAGGAGTGACAGGTCTAAATCCCTTGACTCTCTGCGTCTCCTCCACCGCATGTGTATCTCCTTCTGGTTCTGCTTCCCTTGGGGAGCCCCGAACACAACTGTCTGGAGCAGCATGTTCCCTCAGTGGGGAGGGATGCTTCTGTCTCTCTCTCCTCTCTCCAGCTCACAGGGGCCCCTTCAGGTCCTGGGCATTCTCGAAGCTGCTGTCTGCCGTGGCAGGACTGAGGCTTATGCCGGGTCCACATGCCGCCTGGCGTGGCCCATCTCTGTGACCCACCGTCCACATGCAGGAGAGGACTCGTCAGCGCCTTCAAGCTCCGTGTTAAAAGAGGCGGAGCTCACATCTGTGCTGCGATGGACGCTGTCTGTTTCTGGGCCACGGAGGGAGCCTCCTTCCTGGGCAGGTGGTGCCTCGGGCCGCTGGGCATGCCCGCTGGGTCACCGCTCACCATGGGACGTGCCGCTGAGCTCCAGGGAGTCCGAGCCAGGTGGCAGAACGTGGCTGCTCACTTAATTAGCTAGCCGATGTCCTCATTAGGCAGCCCCTGCGGCCCCTACCCCACCTGGACCCCATGCCAGGCCTGAGGAGGACTCTGCCATCTGCGCTGGGCATGCATACTCCTTCCCCCACCAGCCTTGATAGGCTCCGTCACCCAGTTCAACCCACTTCAAGCTGGGGCAGTCCAACCAGCACACACCACCCACTCCTTGGGGTTGGGGGGCAAGCCGGGGGTGAGGCCTGGAGATGGAGGAGGTCCCGGAGCTCTGAAGTCAGGCTTAGACCAGCAGGCTGGACACAGCCAGCATCAGTGCTGAGAATACACTGTGAACACAGACCCCAGGGGTCTCGGTGTGTCCACAGGCACTCGCTGTGTGACCTCAGCCAACGACTTCCTCGGCTCCTGGAAGCCCCAGTTTCCCTGCCCGCCCAAAGGGGCACGTAAGCACCCTGCACATAGAGCGGCTGCAGGTCTAGATGAAACCATTCAGCTTCAACAACTTACCTGTGCTCAACGGTCTGGCGAGCCCTCTGGTGGAAGCCATCCCTCTTGCTGCCGACGTCCAAGAAGTCAGCTCTCGCTGGTGTCTCTGTCTCCCCCGAGGTTGGGAGGGACCCCTGCTGCCCCCCACCAGCCTGCTCCCTGACCCCCGAGCTCGCCTCCTGGCCTCTCACCTGTGACAGTCTCTCTTTGCTGGACATGGAGTTCAAGGGCGGCTCTGCCATCAGCAGAGGGTGCTGCTCTGGGGCAACGTGGAGCATCTGGTAGAAGGAGTAGTGCCAGATCTGATGAGAGAGGGGGTGCGGCTGTCACGCCCTGCAGCCCCCACCCCGGCCTCTACCGCTGCCCACCCCGGAGGAGGCCAGCCAAGGGCCGGGAGGACCGTATGGAGGCCCCACCGAGAGGCCACGTCGAGAGGGTCCGCCTTGCTGGCCCTGCAGAGCATCTCAGCAATGGGTCCTCTGGCCCCAGTCGAGCCTTTGGATGCTGCAGCCACAGCCAACACCTGCCTGCAGCCCCGTGAGAACGGAGCCAGAACCAGCCAGCTAAGCTGCCCCCAAGTTCTTGGCCCTCGGAGACCGTGGGAGGGGACCGGTGACCACCTCTCTTTCCAGCCACTCTGTGTTGGGATGACCTGAAGCCCTGGATAGTTACCGCGTCGTCCAAGGCACTGTGAACCTGTTGGACTACATATGGAGCCCTCAGTACTGAGAGAGTGGTTCAAGTTAGCTGTGTCCATCCCATCCTTACTGCACTGGACATGGTTGGATGGCATCACAGACTCAATGGGCATGAACTTGGGCAAACTACGGGGGATCGTGAGGGATAGAGAGGCCTGGTGTCCTGCAATCCATGGGGTCACAAGGAGTCAGACACGACTGAGCGACTGAACGACAGTAGCAAAAATACGCAGAACATAAACTTTACCACTGTAAGCTTTCTCCAAGCGTACAGTCCAGGGGCATTAAGTACATGCTCACTGTTGTGCGACCATCACCTCCGTCCATCTCCAGAACATTCCATCTCCCCAAACTGACAGTCTGTCCCCAGGAAACACTGAGTCTCCATCCCCTCCCCCAGCCCCTGGTCCCCAACCTCCAACTTTCTGTCTGCATGAACTTGATGACCCTCGGTCCTCACAGAAGTGGCGTCATACACTGTTTGTCCTTCTGTGACTGCCCTACTTCTCTGAGCATCTTGTCCTCACGGTTCACCCTCGTCGTAGCTGTGTCAGGATTTCCTTCCTTTTAAAGACCAGGTAGTATTCCATCGCATGGAAGGGCCACACTGTGTGCATCCTGTCATTCACTGAAGGACACTTAGGCCACGTCTACCTTTTAGCTGTTGTGACTCTTCCTGCTATGAACACATGTGTACAAATATCTCTTCCTGGCTTTGCTTCCAAGTCTTTGGGGATTCACTCCAAAGGGGGATTGCTTCCCTGCTGACTCAGATAGCAAAGAATCTTCCAGAGATTGATCTACAAGATACCCTGGGTTCAATCCTTGGGTCGGGAAGATTTCCTGGAGAAGGGAATGAAAACTCACTCCAGGATTCTTGTCTGGAGAGTTCCATGGACAGAGGAGCCTGGCAGGCTACAGTCTGTAGGGTCTCAAAGAGTCAGACGTGACTGGGTGACTAACACGCTCACTTTCATGTTAATTCTAGCATGATTTTTTGAGGAGCCACCATGTCGTTCTCTATAGTGACTGCACAGTTTTACATTCCCACCAAGAGTGTTTGAGAATTCCAAGTTTCTGACTCCTCCTTCTCACCAACATTTGTCACTTGGTGGAGGGTGAGGGGTGAGGTGTTTATTTGTTTTTAAGATAATAGCTATCTTAATAGGTGTGGAGTGAGTTTCATATTTTCTTAAATCCATTGTCTCCTTTAATTCTCACAATAGCATTACATGGTAGGAAAAGTTAGATCCCTTTCTTACAGATTAGGAAACTGAGGACCAGAGAGCCAAATTACGGGTCCAAAATGATGCAGGTCATGCATGATGGAGATGGGATTCAGGTCCAGGTTTGTAATTCTAAAGCCGTATGGTGAATACTGTGATGTAGTATCTCCAGGGACACAGAGCCAGGAGATGCCGGGAGAGCCCTGGATGTTGTCAGTACATCCCTTCCAAGGTGCCGGGCAGCAGGCCACCCCAGGCATTGGTGGGGGCCCTTGAGCACGCCCCACCCAACAGAAGCCACAGCCTACCTTCTCTATGTCGTCCCAGTTGGTGATGGCACCCCGAGAGATGGGGTATAAGAGGTTGAGTTTCTCTCGGTTTTTCGGAACCTCATTTCCAATGAACCAGTCTTCCTCTTGCATTCCCACCAACAGCTTCTGAAACACACAGGCCAGGGCATGTCTGCCCTCAGCAGCATCTCCCTCGACTTTGGTCTGTGGGTGCACTGCGGACGGCGGGGAACCCCGACGTACTGCTGGGGACCGCTCTGGGTCACAGCATCACTGCTGGCCTCCTCAGACCCCCACACTGTGTCAAAACACTGCCAAGGGGTTTCAGCAGATGACCTGCAAGCAGAAGGTGCACCTGGGAACCCCTGCTGGGACAGGCTCTTTGCCCACTTTGTAGGTGAGGAGACTAAGGCCCAAAGAGAGGGGCGGGAAGGAAGGAGCTCTGGAGGTGGGGGTGGGGGCCGGACACGCTGGCTTCTATCTTTGCTTTGGAAAGTAAGCAAGGAGTCTCCAATTTAATATAATTCGTTATTTGGGGGGAAGACAAATCTGCTTTCATGCAGATTAAACCATGCATTCCATCATCTGGAAACGATCTGAGAGTCGGCTGTGTGTAAATCTGAGTCCACCAAGAACCAGACACCAAGAGGAGATGGACGGTACGAGGATTTTATTAGGGAACACGCCAGGTGAGGAGGAGAGACGCCAGCGGCTGTCCGAGTCTGAGGCCAGGTGGGGCGGGTGGGGGCCTGGCAGACCGCCCAGTCGGCAAAGCCGCTGAGGAGTCCTTCAGCCAAAGTCACTCATCAGGGCCGTTCATTCATTCCTGTCTCCAGAGGCGGGTCTCCTGCATGTCCCCGCCGCGCCCGTTGTAGGCTACCAGTCACGTGCGGGCAGCGCGGCCTTGGTGTCCCGGGGCAGGCGGGCCCTGGTGCGGAGGCAGAGGGCGGTGGCGGTGTGCTGGTGCGCGGGGGTCACGCTGCGAAGGCGCCAGCCTGCGATGGTGCACGCGGCAGGGATGCTGCTGATCCAGTGGACTGGCGGCGCCAGGCTGCCCTGCTGCAGCGGATTTCGGAGAGAGAGGCCCCCTCAGGGAGCAGCACGGCTCCTCCGCACACAGCTCTTCCATCTCAGGAGTTTGTATTTTGGGCGGAAGAGGCCGTGAGCCGCACGCATGGAGTCCGCCCTCTCTGAGCTCCGCCTCCTTCTCTGGCCGGTGTGACAACGGCTGGCCGGCCCTGCATCTGGCCACAGTGTTGCCAGGGATCAAGTCTAGTAAGTCTGTGGCTGGGAACACATTTTATAAACCGAAAGTATCCAGTGATGCAAGGGGCAGATTTCAGCTCAGCCCAATCTTCGTGAGGAGGGAGAGGGACCAGGGGTGCCTGCAGGAACAAGGAAGAGGCAGCCTCGTCCTGGTTTGACGTGGACGGTGCTCCGGTCTGACGATTGCTTTGGTTACAGTGGTTGAGTGACTCTGGGCAGAGCCTGTCCCGCCCCTCCATGGCCAGAGGTCCCCCACCAAGGTCTCCCTGCCCTCCCGCTGCTTCACAGAAGGGCCCGGGAGGGACCACGGTGTGGTTGGCACAGTGGAGCATCCTGCCGTGTGCCGGCCCCTCGTGGAGGCAGAAGCTTCACCAGGGACTCGCCCGAAGCCCGCACAGGCAGCACTGAGATGCCTCACATAACGCGAAGACTGAGAACCCAGGAGGCTGCAGTTCCAATAGAGGGTTTGCTGCCTGATCACTCATCTTGGTCACACGTGGCTTTTTGGTGAGGAATTTGAGCTTCTTTGCAGTAATCTTGTGCTTCCCCAGGTATGTAACCTACATTCTTTTTCTCACTGAACCTCTTTGTAGAGTGAACAGGTATTATGTCCTCCCTGGGGCTGTAGAATGTTGTTCTATGGGCCAATGTTAATTTTCTTTCTTTCTTTCTTTTTTTTTTTAGGATTTAGGCTGTTTCTTTGTTTCTTTCTTTCAGTTAGAGGATACTTACTTTACAATATTGTGAAGGTTTTTGCCATACATCAACATGAATCAGTGTGAGTTACACACATAACCCCTCCCTCTTGAGCCCCTCTTCCCACCCCTTTAGGGTCAACGTTAAGTTTGACCTTTCCAGACAAATGATCACACCTGTTGGGGCAAGAGATGTCACACCAAGGGTTTCAAACAGAGGGCCCGAGTACAGGGGGGCGGTTACACCGCGCTGGGAGTTTGAACGAAAGGGCAGACAGTAGGACACCTTGGAGGCCGCTTGGCTGTGGGAAGAACCAGGCAGTGGGTTTGCAGAACAAGGGCTCAGAGGAGGCCCCTCAGGGCTGGGAGGGGCTCTCTCGGGTCACAGGGCGATCTGTGGGTGAAGCGGGAGGGTGAGGACTGCCTGCTGCTGGGGGGTCGGGGGGGCTGAACAGCGTGGGAAAACAGGAAGCCTGCCCCCTCCTGCCGCCTTCCGGAGGCTTTGGTGCCTCCTACTTGCAGAACCTCTCAGGGGCCGCTGGTAGAGGAGCCCCAGCAGAAACCAGCTGCAGAGGATTGAATGGCGGCCTCTGAGACAGGTCCACGTGCAGCCCCCAGAACCCACGCGAGTGCGACCTTGTTCAGAAACAGGGGCTTTGCCGATGTGACTCATTTAGGGATCTGGAATGCAGCTGGATTTAGGGCAGGCCCGAGACCCAGTGGCAAATGTCCTTATGTGAGAGAAGGGAGGGGAGAGTGGGCAGGAAAGGGGAAGGAGGAGAGAGAAGCCACGGGTCGATGGGGGCAGAGGCCACAGAGACCCAGCCTCATGCCCGTGAACGCCACCGGAAGTGGGGAGACGCCGGAAGGACCCTCCCCCAGACCCTGGAGAGTGTGGCCCTCGACACCCTGTCACCTGCCGTATAAGTGAACAGAGGGTGTCGCAGCCAACAAGCCCTCGGCCGCTGCAGCCGCCCCGACTGCACCCCCAGGGGACTCGGGTTGGAGAAAAGCAGCTGGCCCCAGACAGCTGAAAGTGCTAGTCTGAAACTGCTCAGATGTGTCCGACTCTTTGCGACCCCATGGGCTGTAGCCCCCCAGGCTCCTCTGTCCACGGGATTCTCCAGGCAAGGACACTGGAGTGGGTAGCCTATCCCTTCTCCAGGGGATCTTCCCGACCAGGGATTAAACCCGCGTCTCGACATTGGCAGGCAGGCTCTTTACCAGCTGAGCCAGACAAAGTGCACATCAAAGGGATGATTCCAACGAGCCCAGACTCTTGCCTCTTCCCATAAACAGAAGACCGCTAAATTTATTGACTTGAGATATGTGCTTTTCCTTAACTAACAGCAAACTTTTGATGTACTGACTACCTGGTTTTCGTCACAAAAACCCCTATATGCCCTGACTCCTCCCTTACCCCTCGGAGCAGATCCTCAGAGCGATCTGAGAGCCTGTCTACTGGACCAAAGTCCTCAGCAAATCCACCGAACAAAACAGAATTCTCAGCTTTCAGGCTGTGCCAGTTTGTCTCTTTGCTTCCGTCAACAACACCTTGATTCTGGACCTGGGGCTCCAGAATGAAACTTATGAAGTATAAGCCTCCCTCCTCCATGCACCCCCAGCTAACTCCCACTCCCCACTCCCAACTGTTGAGTGGATAAACCCCTAAAAAGCAGGGTGGGCGAGGGGGGGGAGGGTAAATGCATTTCCATCCTCTCGAGGCTGGTGGGGAATTATTCAGAGACAGTTCAGTTTCAGAAAGAGTGGACAGCAGAGGGGGCTCAAAGGCCCCAAACCTCTGGGAGGCAGGAGCCAGGGGAGGCCCCGGGCCGAGCCCCTGCTTCTGGGGACGCGGCGGGGGGAGGGCAGGGGCCGACGGACAGTCTGCTCCTTCCTGGCCGTGACCGACAGCCGTCACGGTGGCCGGAGCCCTGCCTGCCGCTGCGCATTGGGAGGGGCCTGGAGGGGTGTCGGGACCCCTCTCTCACCCAGCTGAGCCGTAGCAAGTGGATTAAGCAAGGCTCTCTCCAGCGTTCACGCTGCCCCAGACTCCGGAGCCTACGGGACCGGAAGTCAGCCGCCACCACTAGCAACAAAGGCTAGACGTGGGGAGCTTGGGCGGCTCTTCCGGGAGGTCGAGTGGCTCAGTCTCCAAGGAATCCTGCACACCCAACAGGTTCCCCTGCCTCTGACTTGTGGCAGCCCCCTGCCTCCTCCCGCCCCCCGCCCTTCCTCTCTCTGCTTCTTGGATGCACAGGACGGGCCCACCTGGCTCCAGGGGGCATGGCTGGAGGGGCAGCCAGGAGACACAGAAGGAGGGAGGGGACGGCCTCAGAAAGAAGGGGCTCAGACCGGGCAAGGCTGGTACTTCCTTTCCCCACCCAAGAGAGCACACCTTTCATTACTGCTTAAAGCATGTTATCAGTTGAACTTCGTGCCCTCCCAGCAAACCCTGTGTTGAAGCCCTGACCTCAGAGTGTGGCTGTACTGGGAGCCGGGCCCTTAAAGAGGTGATCACAGTAAAATGAGGCCACGAGGGTGGGGCCCTAGACCCACAGGACTGCTGTCCTTACAAGAGGAGGAGGTCAGGACACAGACACACCCAGAGGGACGGCCCTGTGAGGATGCAGGGGGGAGACGGCCGCCTCCGCGCCCAGGAGAGAGGCCTCAGGAGGACCAGTCCCACCCACACCTGGGTCTCGGATTCCAGCCTCCAGGCCTGGAGAGAATATCTGTGTGCTGTTCTAGCTGCCCCAGCTGTGGGCCTTTGTCCCAGCAGCTCAAGCAAAGCAACACGAAGCCAAAGACGAAGCAACGTGTAGCGTTCTCGAGCCAGGTCCTCTTGCTGGGATGTCTTAAGACAAGGCTCAAGGCCCTTTGCATCTTAGCTGGAGAGGGGCTGCGGCCCCCAGGGAGGGCGCCCGGGACTCACCTCATGGCGCAGTTTCCCGAGGATGGTTGGAAACACGGCCAGGGGCGCCTCTGTCCCCGCGAAGCCCACCTTGCTGAAGCCCGAGCCGTAGTCGCAGATGAGGGGCACGTTCATGGTGCCGCGTGAGCCAGCTGCGGGGAAGACAGAGGGTGCGGCTGTCTGTGCCGTGTGCAAGGTGCCCGCCCGAGGGGCAGCTGCAGAGCCAGGTAGGACCTCGGCTCTGGGCCCCCAGAGCCGGGCCTGCCTGCGGGGTGAGCTGCCGCCTGCAGGCACTGGGCAGTTCGCTGGAGCGGCCGGGCTCTGAAATGACCACCTGCACTGGCTGCCCTGGAGCCGTGTGGCTTTTGCCGGGTGCGGCCCGTGACCTGCCTCACTGGGGTCTCCTGAAGCAGCCCCTTCACCGTTCTCCCAGCCAGGGGGTTTGGCCAGGGGGCCCTGGGAGCTACAGTGGCCCTGGTGGTCTGCATGTTGGTGTCACGGCCAGACCCCCAGCCTCTCTCCTGGGAGGCCTCCCACACTGCCTGGCACCAGGTCAAAATCAATCTCTCCCCTCCACTTGGCTTCTAGACAACTTCTTCCAGGTTTTGGCAAGTTTGGAAAACATGAGAAGGATAAAGAAGGAACTCCCAACCTAGAACTGATTCAGAGCGGGGAGGGATTTGCCTCCAACCCGCCGACTCCCTGAGCCTGCCGTTTGCTGGAGAGGGGAACAGGGCTGCTGAACCCAGGACAGAACAGTCCCCGAAGGGGCGCGTTCCTGCTTTACCCCATACCCTTACAGAGCTGGGAGTCACTCATGAGCCTAAATGTTCAGTATCAACACACAGAAGCAAAAGTCTAACAAAGGGTGTTATGGAGATTGGAAGGGAAAGGTTCAGACCATTAGGAAAAGCAACTGGGGCTTCCCCGGTGGTCAATGGTAAAGAATCTGCCTGCCAGTGCAGGAGACGCGCATTCAGTCCCTGATCCGGGAAGATCCCACGTGCTGAGGAGCAACTAAACTCCTGAGCCTGCGCTCTGGAGCCCGGGAACTGCAACACCTGAGCCCGCTTGCTGCAACTATCGAAGCCCGAGCGGCCTAGAGCCCGCTGCTTCACGACAAGAGAAGCCACCGCCGTGGAAGCCCATGCACCGCAACTAGAGAAAAGCCCGGCACTCACAGCAGCTAGAGAAAAGCCCGCCACTCACGGCAGCTAGGGAAAAGCCCGGCACTCACGGCAGCTAGGGAAAAGCCCGGCACTCACGGCAGCTAGAGAAAAGCCNACTAGCATTCTTATCAGAGAAGGCAATGGCACCCCACTCCAGTACTCTTGCCTGGAAAATCCCATGGATGGAGGAGCCTGGTAGGCTGCAGTCCATGGGGTCGCTAAGAGTCAGACACAACTGAACGACTTCACTTTCACTTTTCACTTTCATGCGTTGGAGAAGGAACTGGCAACCCACTCCAGTATTCTTGCCTGGAGAATCCCAGGGACAGAGGAGCCCGGTGGGTTGCTGTCTATGGGGTCGCACAGAGTCGGACACGACTGAAGTGTCTTAGCAGCAGCAGCAGCACGCGTGCATAAGTTAATACGTGTCAGCAAACTGTCTGCAGAGGGTGGCATCAGAAGAAGGCTTCTGGCTCAGCGTTTTCCGTCCTGGACCCCAGGACTTGCACAATGTGGCCTGGGATGGTGCAGCCCTTCAAGATGCTGGGTCCTGCTCTTTCTTCCTGCAAAGCAGCTGTTTGCTGTGAGTCCTGCCTGTCCCCTGGTGGCCGCTCACTAGACCACAGCGCTCAGACCCAAGTTAGGAAAGATTTCCCATGTTCTTCCTTCTGGAGCCAAGAAAGGCTTTCAGCCTTTCAACTGACCTCTAACACAATGCAGAGTAATTTGACAACATTAAAAAAATGTTAAGTACAACAGGGAAAGGGAGAGGCAGTTTTTCTTCTTCTCTTTTTAAAATTGTAGCTGATTTACAATGTTTTAATTTCTGCTGTGCGGCAACGTGATCCAGTTACGCATTCTTTCCCATTAGTTTATCGCAGGGTATTGACCATCGTTCCCTGGGCTGCCCAGAGGACGGTGCTGTTTATCCATTCTAAGTGCAATAGTTTGCGTCTGCTAACCCCAGACTCCCACTCCAGCCCTCCCCCAACCCTTCCCCCTCGGCAACCACAGGTCTCTTCTCTGTGTCCGTGGGTCTGTTTCTGTTTCACAGACACGTTCATTTGTGTTGTGTTTTAGATTCCACATGTAAGTGATATCACGTGGTGCTTGTCTTTTTCTGTCTGACTTATTTCACTTAGTCTGATCATGTCCAGGTCCATCCTGCAAATGGCAGGATGCAAATGGCATCGTAGCTGCAAATGGCATTGTTTCACTCTTTTTCGTGGCTAAGTAGTATTGCATTGTGTATATATGTACCACATCTTCTTCACCCATTCACGTGTCGATGGACACTTAGGTTGCTTCCATGTCTTAGCTACTGTAAATAGTGCTGCTGTGGACATAGAGAGCCTTGTATCCTTTAAAATTAGAGTTTTGTCTGGATAAATGCCCAGGAATGTGTTGCTGGATCACATGGTGACTCTTTTTTTTTAGCTTTTTGAGGAACCTCCATGCTGTTTTCCATAGCGGTTGCACCAGCTTACCTTCTCTCCAACAGTGTAGGAGGGCTCCCTTTGGGAGGGGCAATTTTAGCACATTTGTACTTAACTTACATATCCAGTTCTGGGTCCTGAAAGAATAGAAAGGTGCTGTCTCTATCTTGTAGAAGTGATGGGTCCATCTAGTACAGAGGGCCACATGCATGGCCCACGGGCCACTTCCAGCTTCCGTCTGTTTTCTTAGAGTTTTGTTGGCACACAGCCACACCCATTTGTCTGCACATTGTCTCCGGTGCTCTGTTACTATAGCAGCAGTGCCGATCGGTCGTGACAGACGCTGTCTGACCCACAAAGCCTAAAGCATTTCCTAGTTGAGCTTTTCTGGAAAGTTTTCCTGCTCCTGGGTGCACTGGTTCATGGGGACACCTGCAGAACGGACTATGGTTAGCTTGGAAAGAAGTTTCCTCTGTGGGTCTGATTTTTCATCAGCTCATTCCAAAAATTATTGCAGACCTACTGTGTGCCAGGCATTATTTCTGGTCAGAAGAGATGCTCAACGTTTTCAACCTTGGAGAGCTTCCGTATTTCCAGTTTGGACAATTGTCATGCCAGTTACCGGCATTTTCCACCCAAAACAGCATCTCACTCTTTTTCAGCTTCCACACCAAGCCCACCACCTGGACCAAGGTTTCACCCATTCAACACAGCTGCCCTGTCTGCTACACTGAAATTTATCATGGGCGCCTCTCCTCACTCACCTGTATCCCCTGATAGCGTTGGAGGCCAAATTCATCCTCCAGAGAGAACAGCAACAATGAAGTGTCCACCTCACCTGGTCAGGGCCCACAGGAAGGGAGAGGAAATCTGGGTCTCGTTTTTTGCACCTGCTGTTAAGTCAAGGCTCTGCTCCCTGAAGTCCTTAGAGCTCCACTGAAGATTTCCTCACCTGTGTCACCCTGGCTTGTGTCACTGATGAGAAATGCAAGTGCTTGTGAATTTCAAAAACACATTTGAAAGAAAATGCCGACGTATCTTCATTTACCAGTGGCCAGAAGCAGCCCCAAATGGACCCTTTTCCTTAATAGAATCTTAATTTAAATGTGAATATGCGGGGCTGTCTGAACACATGAAAAGAAACCCAGGCTGCCTTGCTCTGTGTTCTGCCAGGAGCCCCTGACTCTGGGGCCTGGGAGCCTGCTCAGGTGCCCAGACCTACAAAAACTGGGGAATTCCTGAGACTTTGAGTATTGANGTCAGGGTCTTTTCCAATGAGTCAGCTCTTGGCATCAGGTGGCCAAAATATTGGAGCTTCAGCTTCAGCATCAGTCCTTCTAATGAGTATTCAGGGTATATTTCCTTTAGGATTGACTGGTTTGATCTCCTTGCTGTCCAAGGGACTTTTATGAGTCTTCTCCCACACCACAGTACGTCATTATTTCTTCAGTGTTCTTCCTTCATTATGGTCCAGCTCTCACATCAGTACATGACTACTGGCAAGACCATAGCCTTAACTATACACACCTTAGTCAGCAGGAAGTTTGAAATTCCCAAGCACATCTTGCTTCCTGCAAAGCCACCAGCCCCCTCTTACCTCCAAGTTCCCGGGGAAGAGACGTGGCAGGTGCAGGCCTGGTTCTCAGAGGAGGGGTTCTCGTTTATTCAGCAACCATCAGTCTGTTCAGCAACATTTCTCTTTCTGTTAGGAAAAAAGATTTCAAAGTCCTCTAATTAAACAGTGAAAGCATCTAGGCCAAACCAGAGATACGGAAACAAAGGGCCGAATGACCGTCACAGACAGAGCGGCCCAGGAACGCCCTCCCCGCCCTGTCCACCAAAGGAAAGCCCTTCCATAAAAACGAGCTATCTGCTTAACTGAAACTTCGTGAATGCAACGTGTGCAAACTCACAAGCCTCTCGAGGCGATGACAAGCCTCTCTGCCTGCTTCACCAAGGATGCTGGCTGTGGGGGGGCCTGGGGCCACCATGACGCAGGACAATTGCACTGTGCTGTGACACAGCTGTGACCTCAGGGTCCCGCCCTGTCCTCAGCTCCAGCCTGCCAGGTCCCGGCTTGCAGTCCAGTGTTTATGACCTCCTTTCTGCTTATCCTGTATCCACTCTTGCGGCTGATCTGACATGTGGGGCCCTCCAGGGGTCGGCCTTGCTGCAGAGGAATGGAGATGCAGGCCCCCGCCGGACCCCCGAGGCCTGCCCCTGGGATGTGAGCCCGGGGCGCTGCAGGAGAGTTGACTGTTGGGCAAAGCTGCCTTCAGCCTTGGGCAGGAAGGTGACAGGCTGGTGGAGGCAGGTATCCTGGCCTGGACAAGGCAGGGGCAGAAGCAGTGCAGTCCCCTCTGTGGGCAGGACATCCCAGCACCTTGACTGAAAGGGCGCATATCCAGTGGGGCAGGGAGTGGGGCGGCTCTGGATCTCCCATCCCAGCGGCTGGGGTCCCACAAGCTAGGGGTGATGGGACTCCTGGAACCCGTCTGCTCAGAGGATCAGGGCATAGCCTCTGGCATGCAGGGCGCAAACACGGGGACCCACTGGGGTAAGCTGTAACAGCCCTGCTTTCCTGAGTCCGCGATCCCCTCCTAAAGCTGTCTCCGTGAGCACCTCATGGAGGATGCACACACCCACCCGGTCAGGTGAGGCATGAGTGAGTGGGCTGCAAGGGATGGACTTCTAAATGCACGTGTGTGATGAATGCCGGCTGCCGTTCAGCTCGGGGGCTCTGTGGCTCCCTCTTGTCCGTCTGCTCAGGGCGTCTGTCCTTCTGCCACCCCCCTCTGCACTCAGAGGGTCTCTGCCAAAATCTGTAGCACAGCTGCCCCCTGCCGGCCTGGCGCTTTCCTCCCAGAGGCCGCTGGACGGCCTAGCTCTCCACCCTCAGGAGCTCTGCACCAGCCCTTCCTCTGTGTGGCCACGCAGAGGAGCTGCCTGACTCCTTTCTTTCTTTGTGGAAAGACAAGATGCTGAGGTAATGGAGCGCATGCATTTACGGGCACACCGGGGTGACCTTGATGTTCGCTGTTCCTGTATAACTGGACGGAGACTCAGGTGTTTCTGGTCCCCAGCAGGGCCGCCCTGTACCCTCCACTTTGGCCACAGCCCTGCTGGCCTTGGAGGTAACCGCCCCCTGTCTCCTGGTGCAGTGACGAGGCTGGCCTGACCTTGGAATTGCTGGGAGTGTTTCCTCCTGGGTCGGGCTTCCTTCTCTCCGCCCCATGCACACGAGTCTCCCGTGCACTGTAGCCTGGGGGAGGGGGCTACCTGGCTCACTCACTCTGCTGTCCACAGGCTTTCGGGGTCCTTCCTGTTTATGAGCAGTGCCTCTGTGAACATTGCTGTGAGCACAGACGCGTGGTCCCTGGAGGCCAACCTGGCGAGGGGAGTTACTCTGAGTGGACACAGGCATTGGGCTTTGAGATGCTGCCAGACTCCTCCCTGAAGGGGCCATCCCAGTCTGCACCCCCGTCCGGGGCAGACTGCCTGAGGCTGCACATCCTCACCAACAGGTGGGCTTCTGGGCCGTTTAATCTTCGCTCCCCCCACCCAGGGTGGTGGTTTCATCTGCACCTTCCTGACAATAAGGATGACGAGCACATTTTCACAGGGCTATTGGTCCTTTTCTCAGGTCTCTTCCTCCTTGACAAAAATCAGCTTGCCCATCACTATCTTAGTGGCTTGTTGCTGGAGCTGTTCAGTCGCCAAGTTTTGTCTCCCTCTTTGTGGCCCTGTGGATTGCAGCATGCCAGGTTTCTCTGCCCGCCACTACCTCCTGGAGTTTGTTCACACTCACGGCCATTGAGCCAGTGATGCTATCTAACCCCATTCTGTCCGTGAGTCCTCCAGTGGAGGGAGCATCACTGCACACACCTTTCCCTCCTTGTGAATTACCCTTTCACTCTCTGAATGTTCCCTTTTGATGAAAAGGAACTCTTAATTTCTTTGAAATGCAGTCTTTTCTTTTTTGTGGGTAGTGCTTCACTGTCCTTTTTAAAGAAATCTTTGCCTAACCAAGACGATTCTCTTTCATTTTTTAAATTTATTTTTAAAAGAAAATGTATTCATTTGACTGCCCCGAATCTCAGTTGCAGTACACGGGATGTTTTTTAGTTGCAGCATGTGGGATCTAGTTCCCTGACCAGAGTTTGAACCCAGGCCCCCTGCATTGGGAACACGGAATTTTAGCCATTGACCACCAGGGATGTCCCCCCGCCTCTTTTATTTTTAAAGAAGATTTTATTGATTTACCTGTTACATCTCAATTTTTTGCATATTGTTAGGTAGTTAGGATAGGAAAAAGGAGTCCAAAATGGTGGTGGCTAAAAGACAAAGAAAGGGAAAAGCCCGTGAAAATGGAACAAAAGAAAACCCACGGACCGGAGTGAGAACTTCAGGTGAAACAAACACACCCGCTTCTTGGCTAGCCCAGTTTGCACAGGGCAGGCTTAGGTGGGGGTGCGGGGAGGAGGAGAAAAAATATATAAAAAGAGGAGCCAAAATTGAGCCTCCCTCTTCTCTTTGCTTCTTTTGGGCCAGACTACCCTCACATCTCGAGGAAGTATTTTCATTTGCTTGCCCAATAAAACTGAGCTATAACCGAGCCGTAACACTGGTCTAAAGTTTAAACTGAGCTTTAACACTGGTCCGCTGCTTCAAATTTTTGCTGTGGCGAGATAGAACCGAGGAAATTACCCACTCCTCTGACATCTCACGGCTGCCTGTCACAGATAACCATCATGGGGCTGGAGACAAGGGTGCAACTGGATGTGGCAGGCAGGTCTGAGAATTTCTTGGTTGACACAGGGGCTACCTACTCTGTCCTGACCTCCTACTCTGGGGCCTTCTCTTCCCAAACCTGTACCATTTTGGGTGCTACAGGAAAAACAATTACAAAAAGATTCACCTGAGAACTTCTTTGTTGACGGGATGGACAAATATTTCCCACATTTGGAAACTGGTGGTCTCTGAGTGTCCTACTCCCTTATTGGGAAGAGACATACTCCCTAAACTGGGGACCACCCTTGTGATGCGAAGCTTTTCAGTCCCTGGAGCCCTACAGCTCCTGGTTACTACTGAGGAACCCATAACACCCTCTCCAATAGGAAGGGACCAATAACTACAGGAGGACAAAATTAACCCCCAGATGTGGGGCCAGGGGATTCCTGGATGAGCCCACCAAGCTGAAGTAGTCATCACTGTCCTCCAAGAGCCCACTTGGTTTCCCAGCTGGAAGCAACATCCCCTCAAAAGAGAAGCTCGGGAAGGACTGCAGCCTCTAATAAATAAATTTCTTGCCTGTGGGCTATTGGTCCCACAAATCTGCTGTGTAACACCCTGATCCTCCCTGTAAAGGACAAGGACAGGACCTGGTGAACGTTTCGAGATCTCTGGATCATCAATGAAGCTGCAGTCCCCTCCATCCCACAGTACCCAATCCCCATGTAATCTTGAGAGAGATCCCGCCCAATGCCAAGTGGTTTACAGTCCCGGATCTCAAAGATGCATTCTTTCACATACCACTGGCTAAAGAATCCCAATGTTTTTTTTGCCTTTGAGTGGGAGGCTCCAGGAGAAAAATGCCGACAGATGACTTGGACAGTATAACCTCAGGGGTTCAGAGACAGCCCCACCTGTTCGGGCATGCTCTTAGCCAGGATCTGCTAGTTCTGGACCTGGGACCTAATGGGAGAATATTACCATATGTAAATGACCTACTAATCTGCTCTCTGGGTGAGAAAATGGCCTAACAACATGCAATTCAGTTTCTAAACTTTTTAGCAGAGATGATCGAGACAAAGGTCGCTTATCTGGGAGTTCAGATTACTCATGGGTCCAGGAGGCTGTCCTCTGATCGAATACAAGGACTCCTCAAATTACACTCCCCTATGACTCAAAAACAATTGCAAGCTTTTCTGGGGCTAACTGGGAATTGTAGAATCTGGATACCCAACTATGGGCTAATTGCCCAGCCCTTTTAAAGGGCTTTCTTAAAAAAACCCTTTCCTTTTTAGGAAAGTTTGAAGGGACAGGATGATTCAACTCCATTGATGTGGGGAACTCCTCAAAAGAAGGCAGAGGCTACACTAAAACAAGCCTTAACTCAAGCACTTGCCTTGAGGTTGCCAGACCCCCCCCCCCCAAAAAATTCCAACTTTATGTCCACAAAAAGGAAGGTATAGCCTTGGGAGTGTTAGCTCAAAGGTTGGGACCTGAGCCCCAGCCTGTAGCTTACTCATCCAAGAGGCTCAATCCAACTGCCCAAGGCTGGCCTCCCTGCCTTTGAAATCTTGCAGCTATTGCAGTCCTGACAGAAGATGCTTTAAAACTCTCTTCTGGGGCAAACTATTTTTACCAGCCCCCAAGTGAAGTAACTCCTGAATGGGAGAGACCATTTATGGATGTCTGATCAAAGGATCCTCAGGTATCAAGGAGTGCTGATGGAAAATCCTGACTATATCCCCTTGTGAGGTTCTTAACCCAGACACCCTCCTGCCTACCCCCGAGGACTCTCTCCCCTTTCACTCTTGCCTAGAAACCTTGGGCCACTGGACAAAACCCCGAGAGGGAATGTCAGAAGATCCTCTCGCCAGTCCTGAGGAAATCTGGTACATTGATGGAAGCAGCTTTGACTTGGATGGAAATAGAAGAGCTGGGTGTGCAGTAGTCTCCAATTTTGAGACCACAGAGGCTAAACCTTTGCCACCAGGTACTTCAGACCAATGAGCTGAGCTCAAAGCCCTGACTCGAGCTTTAGAGCTGGGAAAAGGAGGAACAGCAGCCATTTACACTGACTCCATGGCGCTACATGCACATGCTGCTGTTTGGAAAGAAAGACCACTTGGCCACCCGAGGGTCCCCAGTAAAGGATGGTGATCAAATCCTTAGGCTCTTGGAGGCAGTCCATCTGCCCACTGAGGTTTCAGTCTCCCACTGTAAAGGACAACGGAAACGGAGCACAGAAGTGGCACCAGGG